TAAAAACATAAAGATATAGTATATGACGAAATATACAAAGGAATGAAACAAAAATTACAGTAAGATGAAATGAAGAAAAGAAAAGTAGCATATCTTTTTTATTTTACGATCAACGTTTATATTAATTAAAAGAAAGTATATAAGATGGAGTTCTTAACTTTAACAATTGGAAAAAGATATTTCTTTATCGAAATTTCAACATAAATAATTTAAGTAATCGCATCTCTTCAAGACAATAAAGGTACTGTACGTCACAATGTTTATTTAAAAGTGAATCCGAGTCCAAAAGGCTTTAATAAAAATATACCATACCCTATTTACCTTTAGAAATAATATTTCACTTAATATTATTATCCAAGACTAAAAACTTTTCTTTCATAATTTGTTTAGGACAATGATTAACTCCACATAACGGAAAGTATAAAAAAATTACACTTATACATAGCTATTACGTTACAGTATCTAAAATTCGTAAAAGTATTCTATTCTTGTTTAAAATAATTAGCTACTACTAGTAAAACTAGAAAGAAAATTAATACACAATAATAATTATCACGGTTCGCTCTTAAACTATAAAGAAATTTATTTCAGTCCATCACGTCCTTCCTATTTTGCTTTTCCCTCCCCACAATTCTACTACCGAGATACAGCAGCCATTGATCCACGTATGTAGTTCGTAACTAACGAGTCCACCAATCACCAATTTTTTAATATTAATGTAACTGAACTCTGTATCCTTGCGCAACAGAGAGAACCGTAGGTCGTTCTTCGTTTACGGTTTCTCGAACCGTGACAGACGCGTTCATTATTTCTCGCGTGAAGAAGAAGAACAAGAAGAAGAAGAAGAAGAAGGCTAGTGAAGGATAGAGAATCACCAGGAGGATTTCGGTTTTTCATGGAGAAAGAAGTGAAGGGAAAGGAAGGGAGCTCGCCTGGAGGTGCGGTAGCCGGCGGCGTCCTCGGTGTCTTCTTCTTTCGCGCGCATCTTCTGAAATGGCAAGGTCACCGGTAGTTACGTCATCAACTTTCCTCGACTTCTCTCAGCGGCGTGTCCAACGTGAAGAAGACCAAATGTCACAATTACCAAGGACACCGGAGCCGCGTCGCGTCGCCGCACGATGCCCCCAGGCAACGTCGACGAAACGAAGACGAACGCTTCGAAAAACTGGGGGGTAGGAGTCCCACGTTTCTGAGATTCGGCTTTCACATTCGGCTGATGCGACAGGTGGTCGCCAGGTTTCTACGCCTTTGCGCTATCATCCTCGAAGAATTATCGCGTGGATGATGAAACCGCTGACATCTTATAAGTGGCTGTTCCGTGTCTTCTTTTCTCAAGGGAGGAAAGAGTTACCGAGCACGATCAACTACCGATCGCTTACATGTGTCGGAATCAGAGATCGGTGAAATATTATTTCAATTGATGATTACTTTAAATTATCGTTATTTTAAATGGTTATTATTTTAGATAATTATTATTTCAAGTTATTAATGTTTTAGATAATTAGTATTTTAAATGATTATTATTTCAAATGATTGTTACTTCAATTAATAATAATCATTCAATTAATAAATATCATTATTTAAAAAATAAATGATTATAATTTATTTTACATTGCATAATTATTTATAGTGCTTTTTTATTGCCATCTTTGTTTTAATGTTTACGTGGAAAATACTTTTATACATTAGATAGGATACAAATTCATACAGTGATTAAATTAAATTGTATTAAATCGAGGCATACGAAAAATCTGAACCTGATTAATTCATAAATAGCATTTCAATCAAAGTTGTAGTTACTTATAATGTTTAAAAGTAATATTTCATTTGAGGAAGATGAATATTTTCAACGATGTGTTATGTCATTAACGAAGTTTGAGATTCTTTAATTTTATGCATATTTACTTTAATCGCATTTAAATGAATTTCACTGACGTCAGTTTTAAAATACTACGAATGAAACGCATTATTTTACTCGACTTAAAATATTTATTGCTTCTAAGCGCATTATTATTTGAAACATTAATGAAAAATAACAAACAGGAAGCGTTTCATTAAATTACACAATCAGACGTGTTGACTAGAAATGAAGGCGTACCTATACAGGGGAACTGAGCGTTAATTGCTTAACCAACAACTGTGTACTCTCTGCGAACAAAAGGATGCAAGTTTATCTCTAATCCAATGAAATAAAAATTATGAACATATGCTTGATTCAAATGTTAACGTCCTGCAAACACAAGTTTTGCCCCGAGCAACATCATTGATTTCACAGAAAAATGAGAAGCTATGAAACAAATATTTAAATGAAGACAATAATTAATTAAATAACAATTTTCTTAAGCAAAGAAGCAAAGAGCTGACGTGCAAAATGAAATCAATAATTCGCATATTATTATTAGAAATATTCAAAAGTGCACGCTGAACTTCAGTACATTCAGTGTTCGTTTTACGAAACGATATCATTTTTGTTTTGTCTGATATCGCTTTTCTCTCTCCGAATTGGTTAAACTGTAATTTATCTGTTTTCAAAATATTTATTTTTCTTAATATCATTTATCAAATAATGATCCAATTACAAGGTATTATAACGAAATGCGGATTACATGAAATAAAAGTTATATTCTACTTTTAACCCTTCCACCCATAACGTATAGATAAAATTGTTTATATCGTATATGTCGTAGATTATTATAGCTAATCAAGTAATATGTGAGGAATTTTTGAGATATTTTTAAAAGCATTTGAAACAACAAGATGCGGCAGCGAAAAGATGTCTTTACTTTACAATTAACAATTGTAAATGCTAATTTCATTCAACTCGGTTCAATGTTTACGAAATCACGATCTATTCTTATCTAAAGATAGATGAACTTGACGTGACTAGACTCACATGCTGTGAGAACAGGAACAATCGTCTCTGTAAAGAGACGAAAGGTCCTTGGCATTGCGGACGAAGTTACTGTGGCAAAGTCCGCCTGTAAGATACGTTTCATTGCGCTATCTGAATGGCACAGTTAACTGGTGCAAGAATGCCGCTACAACCAAAAGTCTCCAATATAAAAGTGGTGAGACAGGTTTCTCTTACTAATTGAATTATATGAATTACAATGTTTGGCTCGATCATGCTTATAGGAGATAAGTTTCTGAGTAAATTCGTATTTTCATAAACATCTACAACTTAGTTGTATTAGTTGTATCAAATCAAAAAACTACCCTTTGTACAATGTCTCAGTTAATTTGACTCAAAAATTTATTTTGAATCTAATAATTCTCTTATTCTGAAATCTATTATTTTGAAATATAACTAGAAAATTATATATAAATGTATATATTAATTTTATTTTCATATACCCCACTGCGTGTTTATAATACACTTTTTCATTTAAATGTTCAATGTTAATTCAACGTAAATCGGAAAGTATAAATAAATCTTTATAATTCGAGTACACATAACATCAGAAATTAATTGTAATAGTCATTATAAAATATTATAAACCCTTCCCCATATAAGGCGTTTCGCATTATTGTTCAATTTATTGACTGCTGTGAATTAAACTCTTGTACAATAACTATGTAGTGACTATCTTCCTCACCAAATTTCAATTTCTAAACATTCTTTACTTTCTCCTCTTTAGATATTCATTTTCTGCTCATCTTTATTATACATACCGTTTTATTTAAGAATTCTTGGTAAAGAAAAACAGTAAAACAATTTTTTCTATTATATTTCTATTATATAAATATTTTTTCCGATATATAAACGATTCTTTCTAAAAAAAAAACTGTATTTAAAACGTTTAAATTTTATATCAATTCAATTAAAAGTTAGAGCACAATGTAACCGCGTCGAAAACTAGACCGCGTCCCTTTTGCAATACGCAATCGGTGGTGAAGTTCAGATAACCGTTTAAATTTGTATAAACGCATTATTCATCACAGAACCGTAGATGTTTATCCAAATTCAAATTTTTAAGAACATAATTGGAAAAACAGTATTATCATGAAAAATGGTTTTCCCTCGTTAACATTGTTAACAACACTACGTTTTGCACGACGTGTGCATTCTGTGCACTTTTGCACTTCCAGATTTCTTATAAATCCATAAAAATATGCTGTTTTATTACAAAGTTCGTCTATTCATCGTACATAACTTATGTAGTTTCTTTAATATACTTTCCACATTGATCAAGGGTCCATTGTATTACGTCTGAATACAATTTTTCAATTCGTTTACAGTGTTTTATAGTTTTTCTCCGTCATCTTACTATTCTATGAAATGATACGAATGTTTTCGGGTTGGAAGTCAGGAGTTGGAAACTAATTATAATGTCAGTTCCAGATAATAAAACTGGAATATAAGAAATTAATTACATGAAACAGTTATGGAGAACCGAAATAGAGTCGCATTTGTTATCAACGCCAGAACTACCAAGAATTCATTATGGTTGATATGTAATCGTTATAAAGATTATTAATTAGTGTTCAAGTGAAACTATTTATTTTCAAAATCATTTCGAATGTTCAATGCTTTTAAAATATCAGTAATTGCAAGATAAGAAGAGTATAACTCGTCATTTTAACAGATACGGTGGTTCTAGTGTTAATTATATCGGTTTCGGTCACGAAATTTGAATTGATCATTGAAATATTTTTCGAATGTGAAGAAAGTAGAACCAAAATGCAGAGCGGAAACCGATATATATCTCAGAACCGATACACTTAAGAAGAGTTACGACTTTATTTCCGTTCTCCAGAACTGTTTCAAGGACCGGAACGAATACATAACAGTTCCAAACAGTTATTTTCGGAATCTTTTCGATCGAATTTGAAAGATTTTAGTTGCCAATACTGCCGCAGAGCGGAGTAAGAGAAACGCTAAGCAAACACAGCACTGAAGCGAAGAATGCAAACAGGCCGCTAAAGAGAGGACACTTGCACCGTTGCATTCACGGATGCATCCTAGTGGCATGCTAGGGGAGACTCATCCGCGAATCTCTGTTCAGTCTAAAATGCAGGTGGGGGTGCAACGCTCATGATTTTCCGGCTATATAAAGGCAAATGCGCCGAGGATCCTTGGTATCGCGTATCGATCGCTATTTAAGGACGACAGGGTTCAAGAATCGTTCGCACGAAGAGTCCTCGCAATGAAGACGGTGGGTCTTTAGTTACGGTAGAAGAAAAAGCTCCGAGACAGGGAACCGAGCCGCTAATGCTCTATCGTAAAAATCGTCGGCCGATCGTTCGCGTGAATCCGTGCCGGGATGGGACCCGGTCGAAGATCGTTTTCGGCTACGCAACACGCAGACAACCGAAATTATTTATATAACAGTGAAAGTGAAGAGTACTGTGACATTTGTGCGTGCGCGATGTTACACGCATCCGATGATTAATCAGAAAAATTCGTCGGGCGATCATCGGCCCTCGGTTCCGCGTATTAACGGGGATCAGGCATAATTCTCGAAATTATCCCGTCGTGATCACGACGAGGGAGAAAATTCTAATAGATACGTTGTTAACTGCGATTAACAACTGGCGATAGGATAATAAATTAAAAATCATTTGATCTCCGGTATTTTGTAATGTTTTCGCTTTCCGTGAAGATATAATATAATGGGAATACAAATTTTTAGTTATTTTCATATTTGTATAAATTATTGTATTGAGTGATACTTTATAGTGATTAATATCACGCACGTTTATTTTTTTAAATTGTTTAATGAATGTTGACTGCTTCTATTGATGAAAAAGTCTTTATGCTCGCTTTAAAAAGAGACGACAAATTGAGAAATCAACACAAGAGATAATATTAAAATATAATCCATTTATCAATTTTCAAAAAGTAATATTTAAGATTCTGAATTGGTCGTATACTCTGTAATATCTATACTACTATTTAACTGCAAGTCTTCAAACGTTATTTTCATAACTATTTAAATTAATAGTATCTGTCCCGGTTTTCTACCGTATATTAAACATAAACTTTCAGTCATCTTAAAATTACGTATGTACTAACAAAATATTACATATCTTCGAGTTGTTTATTTTTAAATAAAATAAAAATTCAATAGTAAAACTATAAATAATATTTAACACGTCTTGTAGTTTGTAATATCGCTGAATAAAATGTATATCTGCATTATTCCTTTTAAAACCGATATTAGCAAGTCATAAAAAGTAATTTAAAGTCAATTAGACAAATGAGTATAATGACAATTGTTTATAATGTAATGTAACATACAAACACATATATGTCCATTAAAAGGGAGAAATCTCAGTTGGACTATAATTTAACATTATTATATTCAGACATTTAAAAATTTGAGGAAAATTTTACAATTTTTGCTCGTAAATTTGAAGTAGGTAAATGTTTTCTATCTACCATGTTTCTTCCATGAACTCTAAAATCCATTGTAAATGCTTACTGTTATGTATATGTAATTACTATTTTTCACAGATCGTTATCTTCGTGGCAGCGATAATGGGGGCTCTTGCAGCACCTCAAGGTAATCCGAATGATATTACTATTGTAAAGCAGGAAGAATCGAACAACATCGGAGTGGGTGGATATCACTTTAGTTATGAACAAAGCGACGGACAAAAGAGGGAAGAAACCGCAGAATTGAAGAACGAGGGTACCGACGATGAAGCCCTCGACGTTACTGGCAGTTTCAGTTTCACGTCGCCAGATGGCCACACTTACAGGTAGAATACAGCCACATATTTTGTTGTATTTATTAGCTATATAATATAATATTTATTAACTGTTCTACTGTGAAATAATTAACCGTCAGTTCGCTTTGAGATATTTTAGTCAAGTGAATAATTATCGTTAACAACTATACATTCAATTTATAAAACTGATTTATAGAGTCGATAAGTATGTTTTTCATGAAAACATCGGTAAAAAAGATTCTTCGGGCTCCGTTTGAATAAAGAAGGTTTCTTCTTTATAATGACTAGTCCGCCACAAGAATAATTTTATTCCATTTATTTTATTTATCTAAATATTTAACCCTTTGTACTCGACAATATCTTTCATTGCAAATATTCATTATTTCCTAATGAAATACCGATAATGTTACTTGCAATCAACGTACAGAAAAATCTAGCATAAATTAAAGAACTATTTTATTTCTATGTCGCATATGTCTATAACATATACAAATTTGAATACTGAATTTTGAATTTCATAATTCTGTTGTGTTGAAACAAATGGTGACTGAGAGGCACCTCTAGAGTATAAAGAGTTAAAATACAAATTTCAATCTGTTCAATAATATTCAATTCCATTTCTTTCAAAGAAATGTTTATTATTCAGAAATGTATTATTCTGGGTATTCTGTGAATGATTTTTAAAAATAATAATAATACATAATTACAACGATATTAAAATAAAATTGACTTTTTATAGGGTTGATTACACCGCTGACAAAGACGGATTTCACCCCACTATCAATCTCGTTTCGAAATAAACGAGCTTGAGAACTGAAGTCCTGCGCTACCAACGTTACCTAGGATTTTTCGACCATTGACACACGCCAATATTATAAGTAAATTAGTATACTCTATATAAGTATTTACATAAACTCACCTGGCACGTAAATCACCAATTGATAAATTAAATCGTTGAAAAATATATTGATCATCGGTTCAGATTTCCTTCTATCTATGCAAGTAATAAACCCATTGTTTAAAATGAAATAACGGTGATCACTACCACATACATAAGTATCTATGTGTATCGCATTAAAAAAAAGCCCGCGAAGTGTATGTTTACTCGATATTAAGTATATAGAAAAAATATACGAAATATGGAAAAACAACACACTAAACAATAAACAGTAATTAATTATCAATAAAAGATGTGGATTACTATAATAATTTACATTGAATGTTATTTGTGAAACGCGTGCCAGTGTGCAGACATGATTTATGTAACACAATGCAGCGAAACTATTGATAAACATTTTGAACAAGAGGCGTTAGAAATTCCACTCATAATCTATATTTAGAGAAGCGACGACGAAGTATTTGCCAACATGTTTCACAATTAACGTGGAGACGAGTTATTTTTTTATACGTTTTCGTATGTATGTATGTATAACGAATCAATCGTGCAAATAAGAAGAAATATGTATGTATGAATACAAATAAAGTATATCTTTCAGATGTTAGACCTTTTTACTAAAATTCTATGTACGAAAGAGAAATATTTTCAAATTTTTATTTTTCACCTGATGTCATGGCCTGAATTTATAATTATTAATCGTCTCATTTTAATTTATTATTGTTTATATTTGTAAATAGATTTGGCAATGTGTACTGCAGAACTCGAATAACAAAGCCGATTTTCAAAAATTGACGTATACTGTGGAAATGTATATTTTAAACAATTTTTTTCGTGTTTCCAAGGTATTTGCGGAAAACTGTTGGTAACACTACATTGAATACATTGAATACGGGTTTCTCGTGAATACTGTCCTCTGTAAGAATAAGTCACGCCGCCATCGCTCGCCAGCATGGCTAATCAGGGCCGTGACTACGCGCTGTATAGATCTAGACCCCGGTTACTTCTTATACGTATTTATAATGTTCAATTGTTTTATAACTTTTCATAATAACTATGAAAAAGCTTTTCACGGTCATTCTGCTTTGAACAATATTCACATATTAAACACCAAATTATTTGAAACAGAACGATCGTGAAAAGCTTTTGGCGGTGTGGCGCCAAAGCTCTGTGCACGCGCTCTTGACGGAGATTTTCTTAACCTGCCTGAAAGGAAAACTGTTCTCACGCTTTCTGTGGGGGGTTCCTATTCAGAAATTTCCGCAGAATCCAATGCTGCATAGCAAATTCATGCTAACCAACGCACTTTTCGTAGAAATGTAACAGAAGTGCGTACAAATTACGCGCATTTAACCTTTTCAAACTTTGATCATCATTTACAAGCATTTAATGATAGACAATATTCAAAATTTTTATAGCTACATATTCGGGCAACTCCCCTCTATTTTTTACGATAAATTCGAACTAACTATCATTTTTAATTTTCACGTAACACTTGGTTCTCTGAAAAATTCGACCGTTTTTACAGAAACCCAGTTTTTTCGAAAACTGGACGTGACCCAGCAATTTGGTTTTCGGATTCGTATTCAAGGTAAGGAACTCTATAAGGATCACCTAGTGACTATTACAAAACCAAAATTCTATTGAACAATGTAATTAGTGTGTTGTTTGATTATTTTATTCGTGAAGGAAAACAAATCAATTGATGTATTTAATTTGCTGATATTTTATTATTAAGATTTTACACTTCAAGTGTAAAACAATATGTTAATATACAAAAGTAGAAAATATAAACATTTTGTGAGCACAAAATTTCGAAATTATACTATAATACTACCTCTAATAACAAATATATATAAAACAGATATTTATGTATGTGTATGTATGTTTATATATGCAAGGTGTCCTATTTTAATCTGTAAATATGATTATTTCCAAAGCTATTCGTTATTTAAAAAATGTCTCAAATGTATTTTGTTTATGTTTTGATGGGTTTTTAATAGTTAACTTAACACTTTTTTAAGGGAATAACTTATTATATCGATTGATACGAAAAAATTACATAATTATACTTGAAAAAAGTAGTAGTGATCTTTGCAACTCCTACACATGCCCACTTGGAGACAAACTAAGTGTATCAAATTAGTACCCTAACAAAATAGAAAAAGTTGCATCTGAAACATTTTTCAAGTAACGAATAGTTTTGAAGATAATTGTATTTATAAATTAAAATGAGATATCCTGTATATTAATCAATGTATTTGTTAGTAATTGATTTACTATTTACAATATAGCCTTTTATAATACACACTAAAAGGCACAAATTATATCTTATAAAAACCTTATAAAGGATACCTTGTAAAAAGGACCACAGATAAGCATAGTTAAGTTAATGTCGTAATTATAAAAATTCATTATAGTGCATTGACATAATGCATACATTTTTTTAATCATATAGTTTTAGTAATTCATTTTTCTCAACAATTGAGATTTTTTGCATTTAGAATTAATCATTTTTGTCTAAAGAGTACAATTCTATTCATTGCAATGTTAATGTTTACATAAGGAATTAAACATGACAGACATAACAAAATAGATGTTTTTTGAAATGCTTTTAGTATTTTTGTTATTAACTGTTTATAAGAGAAAGTCATAGAAAAGTAAAATTTCTGAATTTCTATTGAATTATTTTTTCGTACTAGAAATAAATGTATCTCTCTAAAAATTATTAAATGTGGTGAAAACTAAAATTAGAAGTCAAATTATACTTGTTATTTTTCCATTTTCAAGAGAAGAAGTGACTTATCCTTTTATACTTTTTAATCATTAATGATATTCTATTTTGCAATAAAATCTATCTTCCACAATTTATGGCATTTCATATTTACATTTTCATATTAGATGAGTCATAACGAATTAAATTTCTGTAGCATTATTTAGTATACACAACTTTACATTGCGTATAACAAATCTGTAAGTACATATATTAATACGTAAGCGTATCTAAGTACGCTATATTTGACGTTTCTACATACAAATTAAATTACGATAATGCTGACACTCCACCCCAAGCGTGTATTAAACTTAACGTTTTGTTAAGCTTTGAACACCATTCTAATCTATCTTCTTTTGTATCTGCTGATAGCAAATGCCTAAAAAATAATTTTCTTAGTTTTAATATTTATATTTACCAAGTAATTTTTTAATTTTCTATTCTTCACATATAAAATATAACAATTACCTTATTATTGTTGTATGTCCATTTCTAATCATGATCAAGCTCTCAGTGTCACTAGGTTCTGCACTTCTAGTTGTTTCGAGTAAGAAAGTATTAGGACGTGCACATATATCTCGAGAAACTAATCCGACATTAGTCGTGGAAATACCTATAAATGCAAAAAAAAATTAAAGTTTAATGGTAAGAAATATCCCAATAAATTAAACAGAGTTCTGATATTACCACCGAAAAGTTGAATTGTGTTTATTGTATCACTCGCGTGTGTCAAATATAGTATTTATGATCAACATTGTAATGCCACTCACGACAATATCACGAGTAAATATTACAAAAGTTCTTTCGAAGTTCAATATTCAACTAAAATGCAGTTTACTAAAGAGTATGACAGTAAAGCTTCTAAGTACAAATCGAAAAGAAATTAGCCACTGTTTCATATACGGACAATCAACCCATATTTAACACATCATTAGATAACAACATAGAAAAAGAACAAACCTGCTCTACAAATCTATTAACAATTTCTTCAACCTCGGAACTATCTTCAAATTCAACGGAAAACAGTAAGTGGCAATAACACAAATCAGAACTGAACACACTAAACTCTCACACTCATACAGCCTGAACAACGGCTGTCCAACTGTATGCGAAATATACAATATTCAATAACCGTAAATCACAACATCTTCAAACATTTAAAATATATCCGAACAAGAAAAAAATTAAACACTAAGAATAATATCATCGAAGCAACTACGTCGACTGCATAGCCTTGATAACTTACTGAAAACTCAATAGAATTCTTAACAAATTCTGAAGACATCGGTTTGACTACCCAGATAATATTTAAATCTACCATTAGTATACAGTAATCATCACTTAATGAAGAATTATACTAATCAGTTGAATAATTTATTATTAGTCGCTAATAACCTTATGCGACTATTCTTATTAAAAAAAATAAATAAATAATTTAACGTTCCGTATAGTTACCTTGCAAATCTATGCTACCAATGGGAGTCTTCTTTCTTTCATCGTCAGGATATTTCCAATACGATAGTGTTGATCCTTTAAGTAAACACCATCTGCGATGCCAAGCTCCAAATCCAGAAATATCTTCAAACATTGTAAGAAATCCTCTATGTTCCACTGACACTGACAGCTCGCACGAAACATGCATTTGTAATCGTCCTTCTAATGGAGACTGTGATGGTACCTGTAAATTATCGTGAAATCAGTAATGACTTTCACAATAATAAAAAAAATTACTATTTTATACAATTCTTTTACGGATATAAATGGTAACCTTATTTAATGTAAATTGTTGTCGGTGTATTTCCTTTAAACTAAAGATGACGTAGCCAGACAATTGGAATGCAGGAGATCTAACAGCAGATGGACCAGCCGGACTTTGAACCGTTGGCATTATTAATCGGCTTTCTTGTTTTAAGAACTTTTTAGGAGTTTTATTTACCAACTGTGAAGCATTTAAACATTTAGAGAAACATTATATAATTGTTTATCAACAAATAGCTTTTTAAACATATAAAAATGTAGTTACCTTTTTACTGCAGTTGTTATTACTATTATTTCCATTACCATGATTAATATGGTATTTAATTTCATGTGGTAAAATTTCAGGCTGTGTCTGAAGTGAATATATTTCGACGGTAATTTTAAAATCATTGTACAAATCATGTAATTTAAGTGTTGATGGAAATCGAAGGCACGAGTCGCCAGGCTCTGCAATGATCACTGGAGTAGCAACTATTTCCTCCAAATGTCGCATCAAGCAAACAAAATGGAGGCACGTATCTGCAATACAATTATCGAATTAACAAGTTTTTAAATATTTATAATATTACATAATATGTGTTATAATATTTACTTGTGCCGTTATTTCGAAAATACTCTCGCTTAAGAGGTAAAGTAATTGCAGAAACGGTTAAAGAACCACTTTCTTGCACTTCTGGAGATCCAGGGGTTACAGGTTTTAATGTGCCCTCTACTTTTAAACGTTGAACTTCGTTTAAAGCAGCTTGTCGTCTGTGAGCTATAACACAAAATTCATATATTTCATTTAAATAGTATGCAGTTAATAAGTAAGGCTTCAAATTATATTAACATATGAAATTTACTTGCAACTAATAATAATCTTTCTCCTTCAACTTGTTCCCTAGAATCATTGAATTCAACGGTAGAAGTACACAAGTTCAATGCTTGACTTGCTTGACCAATAATTGTCTGTTGTTTGCAGACTTCGTCTAACAATCGTTTCACTTTTTCTTGTACTAAAATAGCTTCGTTCTTACTATCTATTTGTCCTATATTGGACACAATTTCTGGAGATTCTTGTGTTCTCGATATTATACGCACTGGCGTTTTAGGTGTCTAAAATTAAATCATACAATGAAATTAAATACCATTCATAAGAACATAATTGAAATCTTTATTTAACATACTTGTGATTGTTGTCGCCGATAAAAACTAACACTATGCATTAATGGCATACAATTGTCACCATCTATGACATAAGTTTCACTCTTTTTAGGAGACATCGATGTAACCTTTTTTACAGGTGACCGATAATACGGTGATCTTTTAAATATAAAGGAATTATTTTTAATTCACATATTGAAATTTTATCTTATTTGTACGTATTTTATACCTTACCCTTGGGAATATTTAAAACTCGTTGATACATTTGGGGAATTTTTACCACCTCTGTTTACCTTGGGTGGAGTTGGTCCCTCTTCTGTATTGCCATTTATACCATGCACTTCTTGTAGCGCAAGACATTCGTCTAAATATTCATCCATTTCATCCAGTACTGAAATATCAGAAGTTGTACTATCTGGATCTGGATCAATTGATCTCTGTGAACCGTATTACCAAAATACTTTAATTAAAAAGTAACAAATATAGAGTACATGGGTATTCAATATATGTAAAATTTAAATGTGCACCTTTTTGTTTAAAAATGCTTGTTCATTCACTGCTCGTAATATACTTCTACCAAGACTAGTATTTACTTCTTCACATTCCTCTTGACTGTCGACCTCAGTTTCATCATCCTATTTAAAATTAAGTATATAGAATTAAAGACTATAAATCATATAAAATACAATATTATTTTCTTCAATTGAAATCTTATTCAATTATCTAACTTGTACATAATATTCGGCTTCTGTTGCAGTCTCAGTATCTGTTTTTTCATCTAGAGTAGCAGTTTCTGCTTCTGTGCTATTAACGGTATATTCTGTATCTGTTTCTGTTTCAGTTGTATTTTCAATATCAGAGAGATTAGGATAAAGATGTCCAGGTTTAGGCGGAGCAACACGAATACGTTTAATTTCAGACACTACTTTTACTTGTTGCGTTTTTGGTGGACTGCCTACAACTTTAAAATAAACAATTAAAAATGTAATCATTATATGAAAAAATACAAAATTTGTAATAAATACCTTGTCTTTTAACTGGTGAATTTTTGTTTTGATTTTGAATAAATTTTGAGTCAGAACCACGTAGTTGTGGAGGAGGAGGTGGTGGTGGAGGAATACCAGAATCCTATTATAAAAACAATATGTACATTTACATTTATTGCCTTTACTAAAACAAAAACCTGCAAATAAAATTAAAAATAACTCCTTACACTTACAGGTGCAGGTGTTGGCTTAACTGGACAAACTGGAGAATTTTTAGGAGAATTCGATTTTCCTTCACTACTTTCACTGGTTCTAATACAAGAGCCAGCAGCAGCTTGAGCCATTTCTTTATTTCTATTAAAACGTGTACGTAACATATCCAATTCACGCTGTCTCTCTAAATGAGCGTTACGTAAAATATTATTTTCCAATTCTTGAGTGCTTAAACCTTGTTCAAATTTTTCTCGTTGAGCATTAACAGCGTTACTAGGAATATCAGTTTTTGCCTTTGTTGCACCGAAATCTACGAATATATGATTCTATTATATACTTATTCTTAACACTAATTGTATTCTTTTATAATTAATTTACAACATTAAAGTACCTTCATTAGTCGAATGTCCTGATGTTGAATTAGCTTTCTCTTTCTCTTGCAATTTCTTCGGTGGCACGGACATAGTAAGAGGTGCTTTTGGTAATAAAGGTGCTTCTCCTTTGTTTTTCTCAAAAAGAGCCATTCTCTCGGAAAGTGACATTTGAGCTGGATCCTTTGCTTTCCCTTCTACATTTTTAGATTCAAACAGAGAAGCTTTACTCAATACAGAGCCTGAGCTTGACTGAGCTGGACTTTTTGGAGAGTTATTGAAACCAAATCTTGGTGAAGGTCGAGAACTACTTGTGCTGGGTATTACATTCTTCTCTGGGGTATTGGAATTTTTAAATAAATTTTCTTTAGTTTTTCGTTCATTTTTTTCTTCCTGGTGTGTAGTATCTTCTCGAATCTGCCGAAGTTGTTTAGATGCTGAACTCGTAGAACCTGCATCCTTTCCCTGAGAACAAGCCTTATAGTCATATACAAGGCGACTATTGCTTTTTGTACGACTAAAGCCTTGAGCCTCCTGTAAATAGTATTTTCATCCAACAAACATAATGGCATGTGATACATCCCTTCATCTATTACAGTGTACACTTTCTTCACAGAAAAAACTATTAAAGCTTTAGTCATATAAAAATAAAAACAAAAATGAGATTTATGTTTCAATAGAAGTAGTTACCAGTGATTCTAATACAGTTTTATCCCATTTCAATTGCTTTATCGAATATGGTTCATCTTTCTTAATGCTAGCGCCTTTGCTATTTCTAGTTCCAGTTTTATATCCACTTGTACTTGGCTGTGGTTCAGGCGCATGTTTAACTTGTTCATTAAATTTTGCTTGTATTCTATCTGCTTTGCTGTCTACTGGTTTCACCTTCAAAGAAATCACATCTCTTCAGTTTATTAAAATTATAATAAAATCTTCCAAAAATTGATAGTCAACTTACCAAAGTTGGATGAGAAAGATCATCTTCCCAATTGTTAATTGTAGAAGCAAGAGCTGCTAATCTATCAAGTCTAGCACCTCTTTTTGATGGCTTTTGTTCAGTAGCCTCTTCTTCCGCATTAAACCTTTCCTCTGTCCTGTGAATGGGCGAACTTAATTCCCGACTACTGTCATCTATAAAAGAAAAATTATTTAACATAGTAATTATTTGTATAACAAAATATGTTTTTTATATAATATTTTTAATATAACACACCCTAGGATAAAAAGACAGCATACTATATTTTCTTATATTGTGTATCATAAAGTAAACAGAATGCGTAGATTATTACATCAGTATTCTTGGGTATAGATGTACATGTAGTATGTTAAACGCTATTACTGATACATAATTTCCCAAAGAGATACAAACGAAAATATAAATATTGTGCTATTGTGAAGAGGACAGAATCATAGCACAAGTCGAATATTTACACTCCATTGTACAGAGGCTGTCAGAAGCGTAATATTCTTGTGAAATATAGTTAGTTAATTATGTATTAACACAATAAACAAATAAATTTGTAAAAATGAGTCGCGACAAATAATTAAACATCAATACACTTCTGCCAATGTGTTTCTTATGAATATATTCCTATTTTGAAAAAATCTGAATGTTTAGAATTAATAAATTCTAAAAACATCACTATAAACTATTGTTTCGGGTTTACCACGCAACTCTTCTTGCAAAGAAATATCATCAAAACGAAATTTTGCAAATCAACGTTGCACTGTTTTTTCATTCACAGTATTGTCTCTAAATGCTTTGTTTATAATTTGTGCAGTTTTTACAGCATTATTTTTAATTTGAATTCTTATAAACAATTATACGAATATTAGTGGTATGCATATTTTCAAAAAGTGATGCAAAAAATAGCTATTATTCACAATTTGGAAAAAACTCTTTTGCAAAAAGGTAACTCTGATAATTGACAATGAAACTGTTTAAGAAGTTGTATGAAAAACAAAGAAATAACAACAACAGGAGTACAAACATTTATCAGTAAACAAAATCCGACATTCCATATTACACAACCTAATACAAATTTTAAGTGTTGATCAGATAAAAATATAATATTGCTTTAGCTGTATTAATAAACATCAGTTAATGTGACTGAAATTGTTGATTAAGACTTCTTAATTCACTTTACATAATAATTTACTGAGTATATATTTATAGGATTAATACAATATTAATAATGGAAAATATATTGGAATAATATCTTTAGCAGGAAATTGTGTTCAGAAACCACACATGACTTACAATATAGAGAACATATATAGATATCACAGTGGGGTAGAGTAAAGAACCAGTTTGAAGCAATCTGTGTGGGTGTACTACAGTAGATAATGTGCACAATGTAACTTACCAGAATATAGTTTGCCAAGCCTTTGTAACTTCGATTTTACATTACATAATCCAATCTCTCCATTTTCTTTATTTACTTGCTTTTCTGGATCATTAATTGTATTTTTAGATACAGATTTCCTGGGAGATTTTATTGGAGATGAACTATCCGTTAATACTTTGGCAGGAGACTTTGTTGGGGTTCTACTTTTTGTAACTTAAAGTGAAAAAAAAATATATAAACACAAAAATATATTCTGTTTAATTGAAATTCTAAAAACAATATTTATTCATAAAACATTATTTTATTACAAATTCAATAATCAAAATTATTTTTTAAATGTAACATGAAAAATTATAAACATATATTATTACCTGTTGCCTGTGCTAATATAGCGTTTGCATCCTTTAACGGACTACGCCTTTTTTTAACATCATGTCCAGCATTTGATAGTTGAGTATCTAATTTTTCTCTTCTTGCCCTAGCACGTTCTAACATCCGCTATATATATAAACCAATTTATTATTCATTTGAAACATTAATTAATAGAGATTAGTAACACTTCAATTGATTAAATCATTCATATAACTCCATTATTATAATTTAATAAATAAGCTCAAAAATTACAGAAATTGTTTAAAAACAAAAATATTTGATATAACAAGAAAACAATTATAAAAATTTAATGATTTATGAATAGAAGAAAAATGAAATTTTTAAGCACCAAAACGTTCACTTTGGGTTACAATAATTCAAATGTTAATAAAATGTACATTGGAAAAATAATAAATGATTTGACGAAAAATTTTTGTCAAAACTATGACCATTAATCGCCGAACAGTTACAGTTATGTATTATAAATTAATAGAAGGTTGTTACCTGAGTGAAAGGGTCCATTGTACAATGTAAACGGTATTACCCTAATCCGAACTGACGCTCCTACCGACTATAAAATATCAACGACCACGTCCGTTCAAATTTAAACACTTTTCTGAAAAATATCGTTGCACGCAAATGATTAAATGAATTCAGATGATCCTCCAAATTTGATGTATAGAAAGTTATTCGCGACCGTTGAATTTAAACGCAACCGCCAGAGTAATCAAACGCGTGCCGTATATTGAAAGTGACAGTTTCTATTTATCGACCATTCCCCTAAATATTAATCATTAAAAAAGCATAGTAAATTTGCATGTAACACTGAACATTTACTGTTTAAACCACAATATTTTCACTAAAGAAATATGACGCAGTTTAAGAAAAAGCTTTTACATGATTCAAATATAATAGGAAGCGTCGAGAAAAGACCTACCGAAGCTCTTCGCAGGATTGGAGCAACTGCACAGCGAAAACGTCATTAAACCACTGCTGTGGGAGGGTAACGTACATTTGTATAGGGTCATTTGAAATAAAGCGATTTGATTGGTCGATGGAAGTAAAAATAAACATGAATGAGGTTGATTCAACAGTTCAGATAAAATTTGAAATTATTAATTTAAAATATATTTTATATGGCAAATAGCAATGTGAATATAAATAAAAAACATAGTTAATAATTTTATATTTTTATATAAGATGTAAAATTATACTTATTTTTTTGGAGTCCGCTATTTATGATAAAATTAAAAATTTTTTTTTAATTAATATCCTAGTATGACATTTAATTTATATTTTCAGTTTTGGAAGCAAACAAAATAAAAATTTCCATATTTTGATAATATGTTAATGTTACTAGCAGTTTCATTAGATGTTAATGAATATTAAAATCACGGAATATTTTTAACTTAATGTTGTAATAAATACATATAACAATTTATTAAAAAAATAATTTTATTATAAAATCAGTATTACATATTTCTTCGTCAATATGTTTGACATTCTTCATGTAGAATCATAAAAATTTAACTAGTATTTTCGCTCATAAATATTCTAATAATTGTTGTGTAGATAAAAGTTATCAAAACAGTTACAGAAATGCATCACATTTCCTGACTGTTTGTCTTTCAAACGTGGGATGACTCATCACCAGTATCAGCTGCCATAGCTTCACGATTTTCATAAGCCCAAAAGCCATGGAATTCTATTAAAATACTGACCATTGTATCGCCTTGCCCACTGTAAAGTATGAATCATTCAAAGTCAAAATTTTTTTCACAAAATATGATTTTCAAGTCTATATAGGAGTGTAATTGCATTTACCAAGATAGCAAGTCTTGCAATGTTATTTTGCAAGGATCTGCTGGTTTTACCATATCAAATATTTCATCTTTAACATCTTCAAAACTTACTGGTTCTTGACCATGCATTGTCATTTGTTCTTGTATAGCCTATAAAGCAAATTAAATTTACAATAAAATTATATAGTACACCTAATAATAGTATAACTATTATTCATATACATACACGAAAAAAATAATTAAGGCAAAATGTATCAAGATAACCACGATTATTAATATCTAGAATTCGAAATAAATAGTGTAAGCTTTGTGGTTCATGTCGATTTTCCAATGCTAAAACAAAATCTAAGTATGTCTTGTAATCCATTTCGCCCTCATATGTTAAACATTCTTGAAATACTCTTTCAAGAAACACACCAGTTAATGTTCCTGTACCATATCTATCAAATAATAATTTTGTAGAATTATTACATCAATATAATGTACAATATTTTTGTAAATTACTTTTACATTTTTATTGTATTCCAATTACCCAGCAAGTTCTTCTTTATTGAGCATTCCATTATGATCTCTATCAAGATTTAAATACTGCCCATAAACTTTAAGTGCAGATGGGGCCGAAAACCAATTAGCTTCTTGTAAATCTTTAGGTAAATCCTCGTCCCTTAATTCTAGGAGGTCATCAAGAAAACTACACGCCAAAATATCTTGTATTCTAACTCTACCAGTTCTGAGGGGATCAAGAAAAAATAAAAATTTTCTCACTGCTGTACAAACATAAAATGAATGAAAAGATTTCTCTAATCCTTCCAGCTGAGGTAGAGTTGGTATCAATTCTAATATATAGTTTTCTAAATCCTAAAAAGAATTATGATATGTTACAGTAATTATAATAATTTTATATTAGTGTGTAATAAAATAGGCAAACTTACAGATTCTCTTAGATATCCTTGACCAGTAACATCATATAAGGAAAGACCAATTCTTGTTTGATGTAACCATACTTTTCTCATAACATAATTAAATAATGCCATTATACTAATTCTACCATGAGGATCACCTTGTTGCAATTTAGCAAATACAACTGCAGTAAAATAAGGACTGCATTTCGCACCTGCTAATTTACCAACTTTCTTAAAATCTTCATAATTTATTAGTTGTTCATCACCTGATAACGGTGGACTATGATGTTTATCTAATAATACCCATAATGCCTTCAATTCATTATTATCTAATAATTGGCGGGAACGTCTTTGCAAAAATAGTGCTCTTGTTTCTTCTCGTAATTTTTGAGGTAAAATTTCATCTTCCTTTGGTAACTATAGTATAAAGAATAATACATTAATAGATAATAATTTTAAATGATTTCTAATATAGGTATACATTACCTTAAAATAAAATTTGGGAATCACTTTGTAAGTCAATTCTTTATCTTTAGCTTTGGCGCCTTTCCACTGTTCATATATTTTTTGAAAATACTTATCTTCTTCTTGCTCATTTTCTGTCAATTTTTCTACTGCTATGAAAATATCATGTTTTCCATAAAATAAAATTATTTAAGTATAATACTAAACATAAATATTAATTTACGTGATTTATTATTTAATGGTAATACTTACATTTATCTACAATACATTTCCGAAGTATTGTTTCTAACTCCATTTGTTTTTGTTTTGAGTGATTCTTAACTAAGGTTAGATATACTTATATGTTACTATGTACTTAAATATGTACTTATTTCTTATCAAGTTCCAGCTGATTTCTACTACTGGACATGCTATACTGTAATATGTATAGTATACATATAATACGTACATATAAAGCGAATGCATATAAGATCCGTTCATTCGCAAAACTTCGTAAAAAATTGATATGTTCAATCATGCATATGCATGGAAATTAATTATCAAAATAACTTCTTGAAGGTTACAATATCATAAAAGGTATCAATATAAAATAAATTAATTAAAAATTAGTTTTACTTAAATTTCTGCAGTTTCAAGATTCGTTAATTCAAAGTATTGAGCCATCATTTTATTTTTGTTCTCTTCGGTATATAAACGATTTCCTTCAAATGTTAATTCTACTAAATTTTCTAATGATAACAAATGTTGCATTTCAGTGTCATTCTAAGGAACAATATTATTACAATGTATACATTACAATACAATTAT